GAGAGAGAGAGAGAATGCATGGATGATTATTTCCCACAAGCTTTGCAATATCATGAATAAATGATTACATCTTTGTTTTGTTAAGTATGGAGTGATACATGGAGAATTATTAAGGAACTTTCCGAATTTACCATATCAGATTGAGAAAGTACCCATTTCCTTTGATGGTTTATGAAATGAAAAATTAAGTAGTGTGTGACAAAACCAAATTCCTAAAATGTAATTGCCTCCCAACTGTCGGCTTCTCTTTTGCATTGGATCAAGTTAGTGGCCACTTTTCCCTGGCACAGTTATCCCATCTCACATGATGTTGAGATTGGAGCTGTTTTGTTTGCTAACCTTCATATTGGTAGGCAGTGTTTCAAAAAGCTCTAGGCGGGCGCCTAGAACCTGGGAGCCCAGTTGAAAGAAAAAAGATCGAATTTTGATACAAATGAGGAGAATTTTGATATTCTAACCACAAATATTATAATTTTGATATTCTATCCATAATCTATATTTAATATTTCCATTAATAAGGAATTGAGGAGAAGTGGACAAGAGAACTTTGATAATCCATAGGACCATAATCTATATTTTTATATAATGCTAGAGTAGTAAAACGATATAAGCATACACTGATTGTCTGATACACACAAAAGTTAGATAGTAGAAACTAGAAAGTAGAAACTAAAAATAAGAAAAAAATATATATATACAGAAATTCAGAAAATTTACAGCCTAGGACACAAAGTCACACAATAGTCAACACTCAACAGTCAACACCATCAGTCAAGCACTCAAGCGTCTTCAACTCTTAATTCTTCAGGTATCATCATCATCAAAAGGAGTAGGGTAAGGTTCATCAAATGCATCATATTCGAGGCCATCAGAGTCATCTCGCTCTTCAACATAATGCTCGTCCTCCTTTGTTTCTTTTGAATCTACCTTTCCTCCTCATCTTCTTCTACCTCCCTCTTACTATGTACAGATGAGGCCTTAGGAGCCTGTTCTACCCTTTTCTATCTTTTTGTGCTTTCCTGAATTCAAATATTGTATATTCTCCTCCCTGGTAGCCTCATGAACATTTTTACATGGAGCAACATCCCCCTTAATACCGGAAAGGTGTTTTTTGAACCGGTAAATATCCCCATTAGTATCTTTTCCACAATAATTATATTTAATACGATTTTTCTCATTCGGATTCGGGTTATAACCATACTTCCAACTCGGATCACCATTTCTAGAAGAACCTGGAGAAGATATTTTCATAGAACAAGGCTCATTTTCATCATTTTCTGATTTTTCTAAATTCAAAAATTGTCTAATATCATCTCGAATACCTTTAGGAACCTTTTTACAAGAAGCAATATTCCATTAATACCAGCAAGGTGTTTCTTGAATTGGTTAATACCCCAATAGGTATCTTTTTTACAAAAATTATACCTTATACAATTTTTATCGCTTGGTTTCAGGTTACGACAATACTTCCAACCTGGATCACTTCTTTTAGCAGAACCAGAAATAGACCTATTCAAATGACAAGGATTTTGTTCTAGTTTTTGTTTTACATAACTCATAAATTGCTTAATCTCCTCTCTGATAGTTTCAGGAACATTTTTACAAGGGGCAACATCCCCCTTAATGCCGGCAAGATGTTTCTAAAACCGGTATATATGCCTTTTTGTATCTTTTTCACAATAATTGTATCTTATGCAATTTTTATCATTTGGATTCGGGTTATATCCATATTTCCAACCTGAATCTCCACTTCGACTAGATCTTGAAGAAAACATCTCAAAATAAAACAAGTAATCTAAAGTGTAAAGTTTTGGACTTACTTTGATTGCTCGAACTCCTAACTTCCACCTCTAAGATGTTCTATAGTACTAAAATTGTCAAAAACACCATCTAATAGGATTAAAAAACTCCAAAACTAATCTAATCTACTTGGGTGATATTTGGATCCATTGTTCTTAACTTTGAGAAATACTTCAATCCAATGAAAAGCACAAAATCTATTTTTTTTGAGGTTTCAAATGAACCTAAAACCGACCCTTAAAAGCTTTTATTTTAGAAAAAACTCAATAGAACCTAAAAAAAAAATAGTCATTTCCGCCCCATGGGTGGGTTGTAGGCCCTAGGCTGGAAGCGGGACATAGGCCTTGGGCGGGGCTGGGCGCCCGCCTAGGCAGGTGCCGTACGGCTTAGGCGGCCGCCCAGGGACCGCCGCCTAGGCCTAGGTGATGTGCGCAGGCCTTCTGGACCGCCTAGGTGGCCACCTAGGCATTGGGCGGTCCGCATTTTTAAATACTATGATGGCTTCCCCATTTTTCGAAATTCACAACCTTATCCTTGAATAGTTTCATAATGCGAGAATTCCTTTCATTTTCATTTATGGCCAAATATATTTTCTTGCAAAGCCCTCTCTTTCTTTCTCACAATGCATTGCCGCCTTTTCATTTGCCAACTCTAGATGGGAAGTCATCTTTAGATCTCATCTCATGTCAAAGCTCATCTTCACCTATTCTGTGAGAACTTGAAATATATCATTTGTTACCTCGATTGCATCCCCAGAGGACCTTCTAATTTAAGATCTCCTAGCCCTAATCTCTTCACCCTTTTGTGCACTTCTTCAATTGATTTTGGAATTTGGACACTAACCTCTTCTGCTGTTAATGATCTTATTGTTGTGCTTGCATTTGTTGCAATCAAGCTCCTTCATACTTTTCAGTGACATATTTGTGATTTTTTTGTATGAGACATGATATTCATACTCTGGTCATTTTCGCCCAAGGATACAATATCATCTGTACATAATGAACTTGAGACAGTTGCATTTTTTGTGATATCTAGCACAGTCATGTTTTGATTTCCAAATCTTCTATGCAGTTGATATCAAATGGTGATCAAGCAGAAGATATGTCTGATGCAAAACCCACTCTATGTGGTCCTGGTGTTGCGTCCCAAGATGGTTCATCTTCAAGAGAAGCTAAATCGGTACCAGGTGATATAGCTCTTGTAGATTCTGATCTTCAAATCCTTGATGCTGATGAGAATGACAGTTTAGTCAATGCAGACAGACCTCAATGTCGCATTTGTTTAGAAGTGGAAGGTCTGTTTCTGGTCACGATATTGAAATGATTCATTATGTATAACCTTTTATTATTTATATGTGGTATTCTTTCCAATGGTATGAAATTAGTATCAGATTTAAAGTGATTTTTCACAGTTGGATTCTAAACTTATTAAGTATTGTCTGCAGGTGAAGACCTAATTGCCCCTTGCGATTGCAAAGGCACACAAAAATTTGTACACCGATCCTGTCTTGATAGTTGGAGATCAACCAAGGTAAATATAACATCTTAACACTATTCACCACCAAATTAGTTATGTTGCTAGTTCTTATAAAATAGGATTTAATCTAGAGAAGAGTTTTTCTGATTGCAATGTGACTTGTACTGTTTTGATGGTCTGGTTCATAATAGTCAGCCATATTATTTTCATGTTTTGATTCAGAATGCATTTTTCTCAAGCTTATGTAATATATATTTTCCATTTAAATTAAAATCAGTGTTTCAACTTTGCTTGTAAATCCTTATAAGCTGTATTGCGATTCTGTACTATGCCAGGAAGGCTTTGCATTTTCTCACTGTACCGAGTGCAAGGCAGTTTACCTATTACGAGCAAACGTGCCTCCAGATCGGTGGTGGTTGAGATTGAAGTTTCAACTACTTGTTTTCAGAGATCATGCAATCCTCTTCTTTATTGTTCAGTTGGTAAGATTGTAAAAAAACTAATCGACATTTTGCCTCTCATTGGATAATATATCATGTGTATAATTGTTCGTGGCTAGATGTATTTGCTGATTAGAAGCTGCAATATATATTGCAGATTACGAGAACCATCGGTAGAAATAATTGGCATAACAAGTTAGAGGGGAGTAACTCCTAAGTTCATGTAGCAAGTGCAATACTTCTATAAAGCCTACTTTTTGGGATATGCAGCATTACTTCTTTAAACACCCATATAAGTGTAGCTTTCCGCTTGCATGCAATTAATCCTCTTTTTACCTGTATTGGGAGTAGATGTAAAGAACGTAAATCGAGGTCTTCTTATTATAGTCTGTGTCTTTCTTGATCTTGAATGAGTTTTTTGGAGAAGTTTGCAACTTCTTTGTTTTTTGATAATGCTTCTTATAGGTTGTCGCCTCCTTGGGCTTGTTGGTGTACAACTTCTATGGAGAGCAACTCCGCGAAATGTTTGGTTATGCCCAACACCCGTATGGATTTTATTCTTTAGCAGGTATGCTCAAATCTTTATCTTATGCACGTTCTTGTATTGTTTGATGAATGCTTCTTTTGGAGCCCCTCTTTTAGTGAATGTGCAAGACTTTTAATTTTGAATCCATGAATGCACTCTGATATTTGTCTTTGATATAACACCACATCCTCCAACCTTCCCTGGGAGGCCAGGCAATCAGTGCTGCTACCCATGGAACTACCAATTTAAATAGTCAGTCTTGCAATTTTCTTTTTCCTTTTTTCGCTCATTTCCTTGTGGATGTTGCTCTCCCATCGCCTTTCACCTTCCTTTAATGAGTACTCACCATTTTTAATAGAAACAAATAAAATTATATTGAATGTTTAAAATCAAAGATGTAGGAGATTATATTCCACTGTTTCTCCTTCTTAAATGACTGATAGGAGTTTGAACTTTATGACATGGGAGCTCAGAAGTCTTTTATGAAAGTCAGAAGCAGTATCATTGATATCCTTGAGTGATCTATTCATATGAAAAGTTTTCTTCTCACTAGAGCAATAAGCGGAATCTGCGTCAATTCTGAGAAGCTTATTTATATAGTTTGTACCTGTTAAATCTGCACCTATTCAAAATTATATGAAGGATGAATCTTGGAGGAAATTTAATATGTCATGTGCAATTTTTTCTAAAATGAGTTGTGCTTATGCATTAGCAGAATCTCCTGAAAAGTAGTTAATGTTGATGGCCTCCGCATCCCTTAAAAGATTTTGAATTGAGGAAAAGAACTTCATTGTTAGCATGGCAAAAGATTTCACTAACCATGATAAAGAATAGTCTCTTTCATGCACACGTACACGCACAAAAGCATTGATTTCATATTTCCTATACAGTTGATTCTGTTAATTTATTTCAATGTACTTTTCCTGTGCGGCTATTTAGTCTTGGCTGTTATCTTCGTGGGGTTGCTTTATGGATTCTTCATAGCCATAATTTGTGGGCAAAGGATCACCGAACGCCATTATCATGTTCTCGCCAAACAAGAGTTAACTAAGGTCTGTAATCAGAACTTCGTTTCTGAATTAGGTTATGCACTTACAATTTTTGCAAGTTGGGTCACTAGCACCAAATTTTTTTTTTTTTAAAGGTTCTCTACCCATAATTTATAGTAAGACATTATTTTCTGATTGTTTTAATATCAGGAATATGTGGTAGAAAGCCGAGACGAGAATCAAAACCCTCCAGAGCTCGACTCTGATCATGTGACAGAACTGAGGATGCTGGGACTTTACTGAGATCCCTCTATGAAGTTTTCATGTGAGAAAATTGTGCATTTTTTTGTGTCTGCCTTTCAATCTTTTGGTCTCCAATACTGTCTTTTTGGCTATTGATAACGATTATTTGTTACTTGCCCACATTAAAACATTTGTTTTCTTGACTGATAATTCCTTTCAAATTTCTTGACAGTCTGCTTCATGAAAGTGTTATTTATTGGGGTGCTTTTGAAGACCCTTGCATGTACAGATTGATCCCCAATAAGGTGGAATGTTCATGGTGGTAAGAGTACAGTTCAGTTGTATTCCTCATCTTCCACATGTATATCATTTATTCAGTGCCTTTAAGATGATTATTTACATTAAGTTGCTTTCGTAATTCTAATTCTAAATGGTATTACATGTACTGCTACATTACGAATGATTTAGAGAATTTTGTTGGCATTTTGTGAAATATTCTGGTGTACATACAATCATCTATACCTACTCCAAGAGCTAATGGTTTTAGAAGAACCCATGAGAACAAATCCATAACGAGTCATCTATAGGTATACTAATGGTTTCAGAAGAGCTCATTGGGAATTCTAATGGGTCTAGATAAATACATTCGAGGTGCTTGAGCCATGAATAAGGGGCTTGGGAATTTGAATCACCTGCCGATTTACTTGTCAATTAGTGGTGTTTTGTTGATGGAGAAGACACAGAAAGCGTTAGATATGTGATATTCTATGATTAGCTCATAACCTGAAAAGCCAACTGGCTAGTCTGTTTTCTATAGAAGATTACTTTGTCAAGTAGCTTGTTCTCCCCTGATGAAACTCTAAATGCATATGGTTTGGTTAAGCTTGATGCCATGTTCTCTAGAATAGGAACTTGCAGAGCTTTTCTGGAACCTTAGTCATAATGGGGACTGATGCTGAGTGATATTTCCCATACAAATAGGAGTTGCGCATCCTTAGATCAAGTGTTAAATATTGATGCCATAATTAGAAAAACAAAGAATTAGGAAGACCTTACCTACCGTTTTCGAAGCTAGCTAGCTAATACTAGGAGGAAGAGAAGGAAGTCAGTGCCCTGAGATGGAGAAAGATGGGATAGGGACACCACAGTTGAATACAAACTTGAAGAGGGCATGGGAAATTTTGGTGTCTAGGGAAGAGGGAGGAGACAACTAGGGATGTAAGTGGTTCAGTGGACCCGGACCTGACCGGACCCAAATATGCATGGGGCGGGATCCAGAGCCAGACCTGGCTGGATCCAAACCCCCTGACCAAGGTCCAAGACTGGTGAGGCCCGAAGGAGTTGGGTTGGGCTATACCATACTATAATAGTAATATAACAATAATAGTTATTGGTATAATCTAATAATGCATATATACCAGGAGATTGTATGCTACGAGGCCATTTATTTTTATACCCGGAGATTACAATCATTTTTAGCCATTGGATGTGAAATCTAATCGATGAAAATATGTCAAAACTTGCATTGGCACATCCTCAACTACCCGATTTCAAATCTAATAGTCAAAGATGACTGACTTCCCTAAATTAAAAGCAAATGGTCTCATTGTATACGTTTCCTATATAAATGATATATATATTGTCCTTATTTGGAAGGGGAGAAGTATTGCATCAATTGAGTTTCTATTTCCTCTAATTAGTCAATGGTAAATGATTCAAGGGAACCTCAATGGAACTTTGTATAATCAAAAGCCATGATTGTCTTGGGTGATGGTCACAAATGCACACACACACTCACATCTCAGGGTAACTAGAATATAATGAATACATTGTCTTTTGGTTTACAAAATAATTTGATGATATAGTCCAATCATGTCATATTTAACTTGGACAAGCTTTCTATGCTTCCTTACAACATAAAACTTATATACTTCCCCTTATTCAACCCTCCATTATGAATGGAGGGCTAAGATTTCCCCAATCACAATGTCACGTCTCGACACTTTTTTATTTTAAATTTTTTTTATAAACTATTTTGACACCAAATTTTGGACGTCCAATCTTCTATTAAACTCGCACTAACGAAAAATATAAAAAAAAATATTTTCAATAAAATAAAAGGATCAAAATGCTTTTGAAAGTTTCAAAGGGTATTTTGGTCATTATATTTTATCGAAAAAATAATTTTAAAATTTTTTATAGGTGTGCCCTAATGAGAAGATGGCAATACCAATTTTCATATTAATATAATTCGTATTAAAAAAACTGAAAATAAAATACTTTGAGACATCGGATCTAAGATCAAACGGTGAGTGACTCTCTTGATCAAAATTGGACGGCTGGGATGGCTGGATGGTAGGGGAAGTATAGAAACCTTTTCCATTTAACTTCGCTGAACCATCTGAAGCTCTATACGAAAAAAGAAAAAGGGATTATGTAAACCAACGGGCTTATACTGGAGCATAAGCGGCTTTGGCTGTGAAAGGTATTATCGCTTGGATTCCAAATTTTATACGCAATGATGTTAAAGGATTAAAAAAAAAGAAATGAAAGGTATTATCCTTTGGATTCCAAATTTTATACACAATGATGTTAAAGGATTAAAAAAATCGAAGAAAAAAGAGATGAAATAGTTAAAAGAAAAATGGGAAAAATGAGTTTTGAGTATCTTTTTTGGTTAATCAATTCCATTTTGTAGATGGTTAATCCAAGATTTTGGGAAATAAAGATCTTCTTTTTCTGTATACTATTTATTCGCAAAGTAAAGATATGTATTAGATATCGGCCCCATAAAATCCCTGTAAATCCCTTGAGTTATGTATTTTGGAGGTTATACCACAGCTATAAGACTACTGACTTTTAGAATCATTTTACGGTATTCTGAACTCCGATGATTTTCCACAAAAATGTTGGGGCAAAATCTGTTACATTTATGCTCTTTTGGATGATTTAAGGCTTGGTATAATTCGTGCAGTATTTAAAGGATCTGGTTTCTATGTGGCAAAGCCTACATATGTAGAAATACTGGCTTCTTAATAAATCTATTTTTGAGATGGAGTTTAGGACTTAAAATTTAAGGACATGTAATTTCTAACATGGAGATCATGCATATGAAAAAATAAATAAATTTTAAAAACTAAAAATAATAGTTCTAGTAAAAAAGCATCTGAACCGTTAGTTTTCATTGTTTTTAGATGGAACACCTATAAAGATGGATGCTTTACGGTTTTTAAACCGCATATGTAAAAATACGGTCCAGCTCGCATGAAACAATTTTCCTTATCTAAAAACATTGTAAAGAAACACAATGCTGATTCCTCTATTTAGAAATAATAAAAATGGCCTTAATTCCTATATTTGTTTATCTTTTGAAAAATTGAAGTTGTTCATGTCTCAATGAGTCCGTAAATACCTGCTTAGGTAGCATATGCTTAATCGACTTCTTGTGAAAATGTCATTATCAATGTGAAATGTGAAATGATATGCCGATTATCAATCTTAACCCTCAAATGTGAAATCTGATAACTGCTCTTTTGTTTCCAACCTTTCAAAGGTTTTCCTAAATTTTACATGTAATACTCGCGTACATGGTATGTGTGTAATCATGCATATTCACGAAGCATGCATACATAGTTTCATAAGCACACTACCCATGGTATCAATGATTCTTCACAAATTAAATATGCCAGAATGTAGAAATTATTATTTTTACTACTGCCTCATCATTATCATCGTCAATACTTTTTTTTCAATTAATTGGGGAATGTTTTTTTTCAACTAATTAGGATCGGTTAATTAGAATCGGTTACATGGATCTTAGTCTGCCTTTTGCTTTATTAAGGGTCACATTTTCAATGACTCCATAACTTTCTATATTTTGTTTCATGATTTCCAATTGTTTTTTTGGGCCTACCATTGTTTTTTTTTTTGCTCTATTAAGGGTTATATCTTCATTTAGACTACAAGTTTCAATATCTTTTTTCATTACTTCCAACCATATACTTTTATACCTACCTTTTTGCCCTCTTTGAGCTTTTCACTTAAACTAACTCACACCTCATAACGCGTGTTATACTAATTTCATGCCACACATAGCCAGCCTATCTAAATCCACTCTCTCATCTTATCATCTATTGGTGCCATACTTAAATCTTCCTATATGTATTCATTTCGAAATCTATCTCTTTTTGTCTTGCTACTCATCCATCTCAACATCTTCATCTTCACTATACTCAAATATAGTTTTTTACAACCTCAAATTTTCCATATAATTTCTCTGTGTGGTGCTTGGGTAGAAATGAATTTTGCAAGTCACTTGTAGCATGGTAAGGAAAAAGGAAACTTATAAATACCCCTCTCCCAAATCAACCTTCTACACATCCTACCTCCAATATTTTTTATATTATATTTTAAACCCCAACATTATTTTTCTTTGTATTTACCTCCAGTCAAATAATTAAAACATTTAGACCAACATCCATTTTTTCCTCTTTCTTTCCTTTTTCAACATTTTTTTTCTTTTTTTCAACATTTTTTTTTCTCTCAGTATTCTTTGTACATCTCTCCACTTTGCCCAAAAAATTTCTTTCATCACGAACTCTCTACTATCCAAAAAAACTATTGTTCCTAGTATTTTTGCGGTCCGGCACTTTTTCGTGCTGAACCGAATTTTTTTTGCGGTCCAACACAAATATGCGTTACTAAACGCTATTAAACCGCAAAAAAATTTCAATCCGACACAAAAAAATGCCAAGCCACATCTTTTAAGCAAAAAAAACTCCTATAATATTTGCGATCCAACACAAACTATTTTTTTTTTTTTTGCGATCTAACACATTTTTATGGTCCAACACTTCGTTGTGCCGGACCACATATTTAAGAGAGAATACAGATAGAGAGTTTGAAAGAGAAATATAAAAAATTAAGTTGAAAACAGGAGAAGAAAAAAAAGACATTTAAATACAAAAAAAATAATGGTAAGGCTTAAAGTACAACAAAATATATTGAACAACAAATATTAAAAGTAGGATGGGTAAAAAATATTGAGGGTAAGATGGGTAAAAAGTTGATATTGAGGTAAGGGAAGAAGGGTATTTATAATTTTCCCTTAGGAAAAATACCTGTAATTTATCAAACAAAACTTACCATCATACCCCAAAATAGATTGTTTCAAAGAAAAATAGTACTCATCTTTATCCAAATCGAATAATTGATAAACAACTTTAATTAGTGAAGGTTTGTATTATTTTCCAAGTGCAATCTTTTCTCATATTTCACCATTATATTCTAAAAATTTACTATAATAAAATTTACCCCATTTTTACCGCATCACTACACATAACTATGGTTTAGTATATAGAATAGCACCAGGAGCATTGGATCATTGATTTCCACAAATGCAGCCACGCCCACAAATTGTAAAATAGACATTTTTCTCCTTCCGAAGCAATAATGAGAACATTATTTTGTTTTATAATTTTCTTCGTAAGTATATAGGGATTACACAAAGGATGTCAAGAGGGAAGAAGATTTGCATAGAGAGGGATTACATAAGTCTTTCTTTCGTGAGCTCAAAGAGCAGATGGGAAGTCCGCATATATGCCAACCAGATCTACTCTGTACAAACCCCCATCCACTGCTTGCCATTGTATCTACAAGTCCACGGGCCTGCAACCACATACATAACTTTTATTAGAATGCATGTATAACACACATTGCATAATGGCCCACATACATGCATACATTCATGCATCTCAATGTAAGAAAAATCCAAATTAGCTCGGGACTCAAATAGGGTGGTGAATCCGAGTTGGTCTGACGGACTCTGCAACTATAAAAATAATGCGAATCAGCCCAACTCAGCTACCTCCCATGGTCATTGTTCTAGACTCACAGCGCCTTGACAAGTCCGACTACCTCGACCGAACCCAAGTCGATTCAATTGAGTTTTCAGCACTTTTATATCCTGCCATCCCTACTCATACGCATTTGGAAACCAGCATAATTCTTGCAAAAACATGCATAAGACCTAGAGCATTGGTAATAAAGACACTAGTTTTTTCTTATCAGTGCCTGTATTTTAAGTAGGGAGCCCACTTGTTTTTAAGTTTTCTACAGGATTTTATAACCCTACGATCTGGATCAGATCAGGTGGGTTGGATTGCCCTGATTGTGTATCTTTCAACAAATTTCATATCGGTTGACAGCGATCACCACAATGACTGGGGAGCTTAAACCCGATTCCAGGTTTTAAAACACTGGTTTTCTATGTTGTAGTCTCAAAAACCATGCCAACTCTGCATGCTCTGGACCCACTTGTTCCTCTCTTAATGTGAAAAGTGAAAACCCTCTCTCTCTCTCTCTCTCTCTCTCTCTCTCTCTCCTCTCTCTTACTTACCTTACTTACGTACTACGTACTCGTACTCTACTACTACTACTACTACTTACTTACTTACTTACTTACTTACGTACGTAC